ACCACACGAAACTAACCATCACACACACATACACGTACCAAAGGCCCCAGAGAAGCTACCTAATCGGGGCAATTTTGTTTCTAGAACAGTAAGAATAAGAGAAATGTTTATTGTCTTGGGCAAGATACAAACCTTTACATCGCCAATTATTTTGAAGTCTCATTGGAAAATATTTCCCTACTTGGAATCCTCTTTGTATTAATGAAAGAGAAAAATAACATGAAACAATGATGTATATTTTGTGCAAAAAGGGGAAAATTTGTAAATGGGGCCTAATCCAAGATTATTAATACCTGGAACAAATGCTTCATAACCTAAACAATGCAGATACTAAAAACTATGTAACTATTATTCATGGTTGTCATTAACTCCAGAATAAAGTAATTTAATCACATACTCAGATTTAGTTGCAATGACAATCATTGATACGATGTAGTAGTTTGTGCAATTCCCTGTTTTATTCAAGTTAATAAATCAATGAAAACATTTAAATTTGTGTGATTCTTGGGTAATTTTCTTATTTCTCTACTCAATTTGTACTCTGTAGAAACTTGGTGTTTCAGTAAATCTTGCAAGTTAAGACCATCAATTCAACATTTTCTCCCTCTAGGAACAAAAATATTGAGAAAGAATAGGACACCAGATTTTGGAGGAAAATGTCTGGGTTTGTGATCGCTGTGTTTTTTGGCTCATCAATTTAATGCAGATGGTTTTGAAGAATGTAATAAATGTCTGTTCTCTTGTTATAAATAGCAAAATGAAAAGGTTGAGGAATTAAAATTGATTACTGAAATTAGTATAGTCTATCTCTTTGGATGTAGTAGTAGATTACTTGGAAACAAAACATCGCAGATTTGTTAAGGAAAGTTAATACAGTTGACCTTTGAACAACATGATTTGAACTTCGTGGGTCCCCTTGAATGTGGATTGTTTTCAATAAATATATTGGAGAATTTTTTGGAGATTTGGGACAATTTGAAAAAACTCACAGATGAATTTCGAAGCCTAAAAATATTGAAAAAATTTTTTAAAAGTTAGGAATGAATGCATTAAATACATGTAGATACTAGTCTATTTCATCATTTACTACCATAAAATATACACAAATCTATTATAAAAAGTTAAAATTTAACACGAAAACTTATGGACCACACATAGCACTATTCACAGTTGAGAGAAAAGTAAACAAACATAAAGATGCAATCTTAAATCATAACTGCATAAAATTAACTGTAGTAATACTGTACTACTGTAATAATTTTAGTCATCTCCTGTGGCTATTGCAGTGAATTCAAGTTTAGCGCTTAAAACGCCCCATGACGCCTGTAATCCTAGCTCTCTGGGAGGCCGAGGCGGGCGGATTGTTTGAGCTCAGGAGTTCGA